AAAAAAAAAAAAAAAAAAAAAAGAAATAGTATACACGCGAGTTTTCCAAGTCGATCAAAGCGAATCAAAGAGTAAAAATTGGTAGGGCGGGGAAGAAAGGGAAAGAGAATCGCGAAGTAAAAAAGAAACGAACGGAACGGTAAAACGGGAACGGGACGAAACGTAGATACGATTTAAAAAGTGACAAGAAAGAAACAAAGAGAGAAAGAGAGAGAGCGAGAAAAGTATATTCGCGTTAGCGTGCCTCGAACTCCTTTGTGTATCGTAGGGTCTGTCTCGGCGATCCTTTCTGTCTTCACGCTGAAAACAAGAGGAAGAACAATTCTCTGCGCGCGTATGCCTGAGGCTTTTGATTTAAAACGAGACTCGAAGTCACCGGGCAAGACTGATTTTTAACTCGCAAACGCTTGCGAATATAAGAAAGAATACACACACACACACACACAAAAAAAAAAGGAAAAGAAACGAAAGTAAAGAAAAGGGAAAAAGAGAGGAAAAGGAACGGTCTTTTTTTTTCGCCTTGCGTTTTTTTCTTTCCGTTGGTTTTTAGGTACACGCGAATGTCGTACGTAATATTTGTATACGTATATATTTGTATTCATGCGAGAAAGGCGATAGGACAAAGTTCTGTTCGACATTCTTAGGTGCAATGAGAACGAGAGAGAGAGAGAGAGAGAGAAAAAGCGATGATCTTCATGTTGGCTAGTCATTGTACAGCTCTATGAGATACTAATCGTACTACTAAAGCTGTGATTAATAAAGCCTCCGTGCATATGTTCGCGCAGCTCCTAATTAGTATAGTGATAACGTATTTTGTAGCTTGTTACGATTGTAAGGTACACAGTAGATAAGCTCGTAGGTATACCTAGTAAAAAAAAAAAAAAGAAGTTGCAGTTCCGAATTGATCGGTCGATTTTTCATTCCGATCTCTATTTTTCTTTCTCTTCTTCTTTTCTTATTTCCACTTCTATCCCTTCTATACTTCTCATTTATTTCTCGATCTCTTCTATTCTTTCTTTCTTCCTTCCACTTTTCTTCCCCTTCGTCCCTTATTCCTATTTACACTTTCTTGTCCCAGTGTTCTCCTTCTTATCTCTTTTTCTATTAAACGTGCCTTTCCGGTGCTGGACAAGCTGACGTATCATCACGTGAAAATAAGAGGAAAGGTTCGAAGGAAATGATAGAATATAACGAGCCTCGCTCGTCTCAAGTATCCTGCGAGTTGTTTTGTTATTTGAGATAGCGTCGAGAGTTTGTCCTTTTTTTTTGCCCTCCCCTCCGATCCGTTCTTTTTTCTCGGATTTTATCTCAGATTTTTATCCGTCTTGTCCGTATTGTATCGTTGCATCGTTCATTTTCGCGAAGCGTACCGTGTGAAGGATCTTGTGAGAATAGATTTTACGTGTGTCGTTTATAGTTGTTTTCACGTAGCATTTTGGTTTTTATAGAAAGATGTAACTATTCTTATGAAGTTTCGTTTGTTGTTTAGGTTTAAGAGATCGAGTTTATTTGCGTGAAATTTTTGTAGGGTGATGAATCGGAGATTAACGTTTAGTAGCAGTATTACGTGTAATAATAATAATAAAAAATGATATAACATAAAAAAATATCAGTAATCTCGCAAGATTTCACGAAAATATTCGTCCATTGACGAACTGTACTACAGGAATGATGTCGAGCAATTTTTATCCTGACACGTTGCGTTCGAATCTTTTGTATAAATGGACCGATGGAAAATTTGTAGGGTTCACTTCTTTTTTTTTTTTGTTTTCATCGTCGACTCACCCTCGAATTTATTTCTCGTTTATACCCTTATAGCATAAGAGTTCGTTTAAAGGAAGCGATGCCAGGTTGAAATTTTAAATCGGAGAATCTCCTGCTTCATTTTGGCATCGCGTATTTCTACATTTTCGTCAAACGTTAAATCTTAACAATGAGCGATTATTTTCGTAAATGGTTGAAGGCGATGCGGAAAATTGACGTTTTTGATTTTAGAAAACGAACAACAGTCGCTCGATCGACAATGTCGATTTATTCCTCAACGATAGTACTGTACAGTACCGTATCATGCGAACCTGACGAACCTGTCTTTTATTTTTCTTTTTTGTTTGTACGGATGAAAAACGACGAGAACTGTTTCACATAACGCACTCTAGTAACACGGTTGGTAGATACGTCAGGAATGTTGTCCAGCATCGAAACGTGCAAACCTCGTATCTTCCGGATCAGTTTAACGATCTCAGTAATTTCGACCGCCATTCCGCGGACGTAAGTTAGTACGTAACACGAGAATTCTTATTTTCGTTCGTGACGTGTATATCAAAGATCCGTGTATTTTTCATAAGAAGAAGGGAGGAAGATAGGTCCTTTCTTTGAAAGAGCACGCGTCGGACCAATATGTAAGAAAATTTTAAAAAGTAAACCAAAAAAGTGGGGGGGAAAAAAAAAGAAAAGTAACAAGAAGAAGATCGATGGAAAAGAGCGTAACAAAGAAGAGAAAAAAAGGGTAAAGGAAAGGACAGTGGATGAATGGCAGAGGGACAAAGGGCGTGGATGAATTAATTAAAAAACATCTCGCGCCTGGTATCATCGTACATCACATAGAAATACGCTGCATCTTTTTTCTTTCGCTTCTTTCTTCTTTTTGTTACCTTCTTTCTTCTATTTTGTTAGTTCTTCTTTCTTGCTAGTTTTCTTTGTCTTATTCGTTAGGACGCGAGAAACACGCGACTGGAATGTTAATTTCGCGTATAGCTGAGAATAGAAAGGAAGGGAAAGGTCGAAGGTGACTGGTCTCGCGGATGTGTTCCTCGCAAAAATTTTCCTGGTCGAGCTTTTGTATATACATATATATATGTATACACGTTATATGTAGTTGACCTGTAAAGGAATCAAAATGGGAGGGGGGAGGGGGATTAAACAAGAGAGACAAATAGACATAGTATATCGTAGAAGTGCCACCCACCTTCTAGAGAAGTCGCGTAGTTAAGCGATTACACGTAGCTATTTTTCAATCGAATCTCTTGAGGTCGTCGTCGGTTTAGAATCGTCTTTGTTATACGCGGAACCAGCATTCTTCAAAAACCCCTCTCGTATAATACGCGAACCTGTCTTCTTTCGTTTAACGAGAGTCTTCTCTCTTAGCATCGATCTCTCTCTCCTCCCTTTTTCGTTATTTCTGTCTTTCTCGTTCGTCGAAACGAATTTTTAACGTTTAAAGTATTACTCTTGTATCCACGACCTGTGTATATAGTCTTAAACTTCTCGTCGTTCTTCTTCTTCTTCTTATATTGTTCTACCACGAGTGAACGCGAGAGGCCGAGTGTCCG